GGTCTTGCGTAAGATCTTGGGTACAAAAATGTCCTGAGATCTTGTACCCATTTTTTCAAGATCTAGTGCCAAATCTTAACGTAAGATCTTGGGTAAGATCTTCGTTTCAAGATGTTGGACTAGGGTAGCAACTATACATGGACGCCGTGTACTTTTGCACGCGTAACATCATGGATATTATACTAACTTAAGAATAAAAACTTACACAAGATCACATCAAGAAAGTAATTCGCACTTAATAAACCATATAGCACTAATATGTTGTTCAAAAGAATTGTGAAATTGAACTTTGCACAATGGATTTATATGAAAATGAATCCCACTGACTGTGACATTTTATATCATATTATATTTTGAGAAAAGAGCAAAGAGCTCTTTTAAAAGGAGCTAGAGTACGACATGAAACAACATTTTCAGGCAATGTATTCCACTCAGTCAAAATATACTATAGAAAAATGAGGATGCAACACGAACTTTTTTGACAGTAATAGTATCTGATGAGCATTTTGCCAGTCAGAATTGAGCCTAGCCGAGCGTCGATCATCCAATGGTTGAATAAGAAGTGGTTGAAAAGCTAAGAGAGGTGATAAACTAGTTTTAATTTTAAAAAAAGTGAAGTAATCAGAAGTATTGCCTTCTTAACGTGAGATCAAGAAGTTTTAACTTAACGACTAAATCACTTACTTACAGAACCGTTAAACTTTCTACAGATAAGTCTTGCTGCTAATTCCGTAATCTTATCTAAACCAGATCTATGCCAATAACTGTGATACACCACACTACAGTAAGTCTCCGGTGATCCTTCGGAAAATACAAGATCGCTAGGGTAGCTTCGATTACATTGACACATTCTTTTACTCAACGGATTGAGGGAATCACAAATAAAGATTACTTGGTAGTATACAGAAGAAAATCAACATGCCCTCATTTTGTACTGTGAGAATGTAAAACTAAAAAATTATATTGTAACACTGACTGCAATCCTCTGTAATCCTAGTGAATGCATTGGGCCTAAATACCTCGTTCGCGCAATGAAGCCGGTATTTGTCATTTTTCTAGATGTAAATTTACTTATACCCAGGGGAAAGACGTCTTACAAGATCTTATAAGATCTGACGATTTCTTATGCAATCTTGCTGCAAGATCTTTTGGAAGAACTTGTAAGATCTTATCCCAAGATCATGTATGATCTTGCGGAATCTCGTAACTTCTTGTTGTAAGATCTTACAAGATCAGCTTATAAGAAATCTTAAGATCTTGTAACAAGAAGTTATATGATCTTGCAAGCTCTTGTCAGTTCTTATCACGAGATCATACGATTTCTTGTTACAAGATCTTACAAAATCTTACAAGAAGCGATGACTCATTCTTATCACGTAAATTTTGCAACGATATATAGTATATATAAAACATAGTTCTTATATGATGAAACTTAGAATTTTTTCTTTCTCCAACTGCACACATCAGCTGAGCACAAATAAAGTGCATGGCTATAAGTAACGTGGTGAGACACGTTACTAAGGACGTCAGGGTCCTTCTTATGCTCGAAAATATTATGAAAAGAAAAAAGCTGTTTTTTAAAGAGGGTCTGTAGGGAAGCTATAGTACAGAATCAGAGATATAATCTTATATGATCTTATGAAATCTTTCAAGATCTTGTCACATCTTGCGCGATCTTATCGCCAGATCTTGCAAAGTCATACAAGATCTTATCACAAGATCTTGCTGTAAGAAAAATCTTGTAAAGTTTAAATGTAAATCTTGTGAAATCTTATAAGATTCTTGAACCAAGATTCTTGTGGAATCTTGTGGTATCTTATAATATGATCTTACAAGATCTTGTATGAACGTACAAGATCATATTTCAAGATTCTTCGCCCTGGGTAGGTACTCATTCCATCTAATAAGGACTTTCACAAAATACTTCATAGCAGTAAAACCAAGTATTACAAGCTTGAAGAAGTACTTGTAAAAGTTCGTGACCAGTGTGTAATTTTGAAAATATCTGCCAATTTTTCCAAATATTTACTAAACAATGAAGTACGTTCGCTAGAGAAGTACTAGTTTATAATTCTTTAGATTTCTCTCGATACATGACTGTTCGCGGTATCATTATTAGTTGTAGTCGAATAGATTTCTAGAAAAAACAGATTAAGTCAACCTTTTTTCCTATAAGCAGACAAAATCGTTGATGTTTATATGGCTTGCTTATTGAGCGACATCTAGTATAGAGTCCCTTACTGCAGACTTTGCCCAATTAAAACAGTTGTCGGATGCAAACCTTTTCTTTTCAGTACGATCCCGACACCATTTCATTTATGCTAAAAAGAATGAGTAGAAACTGTGTGACGAGCAATTTTACTTTTTCTAATCGTACAAAAAGTATGTGAAATAAACATATTCTTTTATCCGTCGGTCACATTGACCTTCTTAAATAAAAAGTCGAAATATCGTCGAATATGCTTTATAAAAATTTTATAATAAATATTGTAAATGCAAATTTCTTTTTATAATGATAGTAGTCCTACGTTCTTATGTTATTGTTGTAGCGTTAGTGATTTAGACTAAGACTAGTTTATTCACGAAAAGTGAGAGTTATCAAAAGGTCGACCTGTCTGTAATAACAATGACTTTTTGACTGCTCTGTATCATACATCATTGTATTCAGTATTTTCTTCAATCAATACTTAACTGAACTTCATGATCATCGAAGTCAAGTGGAAGAAGAAGTGAAGTTAACCGGTTTTTAAAATCTTTAGATTAAAACTCACCTTTATCTCACCTGAAGAGTAATTTATAAGACATATGTGACACTGTAGCAATGGACAGTTCTCTGTGAATAATATTTTTTAATAAGCTTTTTTGTTATCAAGAAATGAGTTTCGTTCGTCGATCGTTTTTCTCTTCCGTGGTTTACAAGCCAACGTTTTTGTTGTAGATAACTAATGGGAGACCAAGCTCCAGTGTTGAGCAGTGCTTTTCCGCTGCCACCTATGGCATATATTGAACGCTTTTCAGATGAAACCAAAGCACCTAAACCACCAGCTCCAATTGTTGTATGTTCAGTTTGTCAATATGTGTTTAATTCTAAATAATTTTAAGTTTTTTTGTTTACTTGTTTAGGGTCCGTTCGAATTGTTTGGTGCTTATGTGAATTTAAATGAACAAGATCCCATTCCAACATTAGAATCTCAAAATATTCAACGTGTTTACACAAAGCCAGATGATTATAAAGGTGAACTGAAAAAATTATGTTTTTCTATCTTAACAAATTATCTTGACCTATTGCATATTGTATCAAAATCATCCAATGTTCAAGCAAAAGATGCGCCTGAGTTATCATTACGTGAACAAAAATTAGCGGAAATTGACCTATTGTTTGTTAATATTCATCATCTGATTAATGAATTACGTCCACATCAAGCACGTGAAACTCTAAGAGTGATATTGGAAGAACAAAAACAACAACGTGTAAAAACAAGTGAAAAATTGTATTCATTTTTAAATCGAATCGTTGATGTTCTTAATTCAGCTGTTTATTCATTGAATGATCTTGTACCTCAATTAACAGAAGAGCAGAACTAATTCATTGTGTATTTGTTTGTTATCTAAAAGCAAAATTGCTGTTTTGGTAAAAGAATTGCAAGAATATTTAGATAAAAGATTTTTATTAACATATATGATAGATGTTTTGCATATTTTGTAAAGATTTTCATTTTATAATAAAGTTACTGCTAGATATTCTTAGCTTTTTATTAAAATAACTTTTTATCGTTCGCTAAATATGTCGGATGAATGAAAGAACCTAAGAAAGAGTAGTACGACTAGCTCTCTTAACTAATGTCGTATCTGAATGCTTAGGAGTTATTAGTTAGATGTGCCAATACATTGCGTATTAGCTACAAGATATTGATGTTAGTCCTTGTTTAGACTAATGAACTTAACTCTTCGCAGTATGTTTAAAACAAACAAACTTTCGCCAATAAAATTGACTTCGTAATTTTGATTGAATTGCTTTTGGATATTTTCATATTGCGCTGTCCAACTAATGTTTCAATTTTTCTTAATAGTAATAATGAAAAATAACGAACAAATTAAAACATATTGTGTTCATCCCAATATACAATATATTTCATTTTTATTTGTTGTCGATTTAAATTTTATTCTTCTTTTCACCATTTTTGTCTACATATCAACTTTAAATATCAGCGTAGTCCGTGGAAACTTTAAACGAATAAGATATACTAAAAGAAAAGAAATGAGACTGAAGAAAAAGAAAATATTACACATACAATAGAATAAGTAACATTGCTTCAAGTATAAATTTTAAAAATGAACCTTAAAAAATAGATGAAGTCATATATCTACCAAGATATATGATGAAGTTATATCTACCAAGAAAACTTCTGAAATGAGTTCTTGAAAGAAAGTAGTTGAAAACAACAGTGAAGTTAAAACTGTTAGTCAGTAGTTTCTACTTCTAATTAAAAGATAAGCAACTTCAATATTGAAAAGTTCGCTGTCAATGTGATGTGTATAATAAGCGGTTAGCGGATAGCATGAGTTTGTGAGCATAGAAAACAGTAAAGTTATAAGTTTTAGCCTACCATGTTGACTTTATGTCGGTTCAGAGAAAACTTTTTCATACTTATATTCGAGTGTGTTTTTCCAGTATAAGATGAAACAATGTCTTCTTAAAAGGCTCTAAATTTATATAGAACATACTCGATTAAACAATTGTGTTTTTGGATGCTAATGCTACATATACTTATGCCCGCTATATATGATTGTCGTAGTAACGCTCTTCTTGAAACTTCTAACGATCGAAGCCTCCCTGTTTCTACCTATCATTTGAATATTTGCTGAAATTTACTTTCTCTCTTTAAATTAGATTACCAATAATTTGGTATTTCAGTGGTATGTCAGCCGAACTTAAATTACCACCATTTTTAACATTTAAACCATCTAAAGCAAAAACTGGTGAAAATGGTATGTTCATCGGTTTTTAGTCTTATTTTTATTTATTACCATCTGTGTATTCTAGGATTATATGCAAAGCAAGTGATTTTACCTAATGAACCATTGGGTATTTATAAAGGAAAAATTCGTCGTACATTATTACAAACAGCTGATGAAGAATACGTGTGGGCGGTAAGCTTCAGTATTAGTGCATGAAGACTAAATAGCTCAAGTATTTCTTTGTTCAATTAGATTTTGAGTGCAAGAGGTGTACCAGTATTTTATGTTGACGCTAGTAATCCAACTGACGGAAATTTTCTACGGTATATTCGTTGGACACATGATAAGCAGCAACAAAATGTTGTTTGTATGCAGCAAAATCAACAAATTCATTATTTTTCATTAAAAGTATGTTGTTTCGTTTATATAATCAATCGTTATTTCAGTAAAATATCATTTTTAGACCATCCGTCCGGATGAAGAACTTTTAACTTTTATCGAACGTCAAAAAACGAAAAAGAAAGGTATTTTCTTCAACTATACTGTCAGTAACAATTGTGAGAGATTTGTGAAGATGTGTGTATATCATTGTCAGATAAACAAAATGGTCGAACACGACGTCATTCTCAACAACAACAGTTACAACATCACGATAATGCGGATATAAAAATAATTGATTTAAATGAGTTTAAAGATGAAAATTTAATTATGAATCGATCGACCGAATTCGAATTGCAAATAACGAGAAAATTTCTATCTGAAACAATTCTGACTGATGGATTAAAACACACATGTTTAAAATGTGATATTTGTCATCAAATATTCATGTCGAATGTGGCATTCAAAGTAGACTATTATTAAACTCTTAAATCTTTCCATTTCTCAAATTTATTTGATTTTAGTTTCATTATCACAATTATCATATAACACCACATCATTTATCATACGCAAACAGACCCAGAATTAAAGTTCGAGATAATTGTAATATATGTAAAATTGGAAGTGTATCAAATGATGTCAAAAGTGTTGTGGTTGATCTTATTGAAGGTGATATTTTGGTTTCATTGGAAACGTACATTTTAAATATGTTATCTGTTTAGTTGTGTGTGGTGATGATCGATTACCAATCGAACCAACAGATGATTTACGTTTTATTCGTTTACATCTTTATCGATGTTATTGGTGTGCACCAACTGCAGATTGTCATTACAATACAGCAAAACAACTTGCACAACATATGCGATCTAAACATTTTCGATTATTACAGGCATTATTAACAACATCACAAACAGCAGCATTAACAAATAATTCAAAAATAAACAAATCAAAGACGAAACATTCACAAGATCAACAACAAGGTATTTTTTTTTAATTGATACAGTCTATACAGTACGCTCATCATTTACTGGTTTTTAGGTGAACAAAATGAAAATGGTATTGATATTCTTAATATAACATCCAAAAATGAACAGTCCACACTGAGTCGACAAACGAGTCGAGATGATACAACAGCAGGTGGTACTAGTCGAGGAAGAGGTCGACCTTCATCCGTCATGAATGGAAGCGAAACTCCTATTAGTTTTGGTATACAAAATATTTTTTGTTGTCAAAAATATAACATTATCGTTTATATGTACTTTTAGGCATTCCCGATCCACTCACCGAACGGGATTGTCAACAATTATTTTCAATTGGTGAACAAGTTGCATATAATATGATGAATTGTATTGATGGCACATTGGAAGATATTCAACAAAATGAAGAACTATGTCGAAAATATATGGATATTGATGATAGTGAATCATTACCTACATCATTAGAATTATTTTTGGAACAATTTCAACATGTTTGCGAATATTTAGGTCCAAAGAAAAAAACTGAGACAGCTGTTCAGGTATTAGCCAACAGTTATTTTAAGCACAACCCTTGTACAAGTAGTAATTATAATAAAACAAAAATAACGAGAAAAAATACAATTGATCGATTTTTATGTCCAACATGTGATCAGTGTTTTCATAATACACAGCAATTAATTGAACATGAAAAAGAAGAACACGATAGATTAGTGTCTGTCTACGATTGGGGATGTGAAGTATATGGTGTTAATCAAGCGAATCCTTATGCATTTATACTTGAACTTGAAAATCATTTGGATCATTCACAAAAAATATCAAACAAACCGTCAACAACAAAAATTATCACAAGAAAGGTTTGTTTTCTTCTTTTCATTCAGTTCATCTATCATCTTTAAATTATTTCTAATTCTTAATCGAACGTTGTCTTCAAATTGTGTACTGCTATACTCTGCAAAATGAGCATTGATCTCACACTCATAACATAACGTTGCGAATCTTAGTGCCATAGTCTGAAGTTTGATTGCTTTGAATGTGAAGCGATGATGGTAAGAGCTATTTGATGAACAATTTTTGTATATTAGCGCTATCATCATTATTCGTCGAAAGTGCAAACAGTATGTTTTCTTTTTCAGTCTGCTCGACTACGTTCTTCGTCATCAACAGAGCCATCCATAAAGACTAACGACAGTAAGTTTTAATAGCTTGTGTATGTATCGGGATTTTATTTCTGCATATCGTTTAAGATCAAAACGAAATACAAATTAAAGAACCCACTTCAATAAAGAGTGTTTCAAAGTCCGTCAAAAAAGAATTTTTTAGATCGAATACGTGCCCATTGAATATAAATTCTTGTGACATAAAACCAAAAGAAGAACAAATTGATTTTAATGAACAGCAACGTAAATCAAAGCGACTTCAAAATAGTATGATCAATAATCCCAGTAGTATCAATTCATTACCGACAACTGCCATCAATATTCCACAAGTAGATGTTAAGAAAGAAGCCGATATTGATTTGACAACAATTACCGAACAAGTTAATTCGATGAAACGTATGTCATCACGTAACAATAATAATTCAACCTCAATTGCCAATAATGATACATCAAGCAATGATCAAGTGATTGTTAAAACAGATAAACGTTATTATTGGTGTACAAAATGTTCAAAATTATATTTAAATTTAATATCACTTTACACAGAATCGCATTATAGACAATGTGTTCGATCTGAACAACATTTTACGGTTGTTAATGATCCATTATTTTTTCAATCAACAGAAATGAAAGATTTATTACCAGCTAATGATAATAAATATTTAGCAATCGTACCCACTGTAAAATTACAAGAAACAACGCCAGGTAATTGTTTTGTACATATTCTGATATTAAGCGAAAGGGAAGAAATGGATGTGACTGATCTGGTTTTGGGTTCGAGTTCAAGTGAAATTGAAATCTCTTTAATTTTTTACAATTCCAGACTATTGCTAGAATAGAAATATTAATTACTGACCTATCTATAAACTTTTTTAATTCGCATTTGTAACATTTAACAAAATTTCATCTTTATCTATTTTAGGTAACAAAACAGTACCCAGCGAACAAACATCGTCTCATATTCGCACTTATTTTCTTAATGGAAGACCTGTTGGACAATCTCGTCCTATTACCGTCAAAGATTTACGTCAACAATTTTTAACACATTCAACATCTACATTAAAGCAGACACCATCAATTCCTAGTGAAGAATATATTTATCATCCAAAAGTAGAAAAAGAAGAATCTCCGCCGAGAATCATTAATTCAAAAACACGAATGTCAAATGGTATCAGAGAACTTCGTCCTAGAACAAGTTTAATTGATACACAAAAATCTCTGCCTTTGTGGCGACCACCAACAACATCTCCACCACCACCTCCATCTGTTATTCTAATTCCCACTTCATCATCCTCATCCAATCTCTCACATCGTTCGTTAGATAGATTTCGTGTAAGTTCCGATGAAGAAGATCAAATTTCTACAACAGCAACAACAACACCAGTCATAGAAAAATCTCAAACGAAAGAAGTTGAAAAAACATTTGTAAGGAAAAGACGATCACCAACACCCGTTTTGGTTAAAGAAGAAATAAGTGATGAGGAAGGAAATGAACCAAAACAACGAAAAAAATTCAAACGAACGATATCAAATAGAAATCTAATCTTAAAACGAAGAAAACAAAATCGAACGGTACATTTGATTAGTTTGCTCAATGTTCATCATTAATTATTTTTTTTCCTTTTCAGACATTGAGTTCATCCTATTCAACTAGTGACGTATCAGCATCAAAAAATTCAACTAGTTCAGTATTAAAACGATCTATTTCACAAACAATAGGAGAAACAAAACGACGTCGATTATTTGCAGTTAAATCGACAGTGAATAACAACAATAGAAATCAAAGGTTGGACATTCGTTGAAAAAGATTATTGTATATCAAAACGGAGAACGTCATTTTTATTCTATCAGAATACAAGCGGAAAATATTCCATTATAGTATTCTAAACTAAAACTATCGAAAAACACAAAATCAATTTTGTACAAATAGAGATTCGAACATGTGAACTTAGCTTTGTAGTAAACTACAAAACTAAATTCACCGTTCTGTATCTATATTGATTGTGTACAACGATTAAATAATAACGATAGAATAAAGCTTATATCAACACAGAACACAAAAAACACACCAAAAAAATTACTACTGATAACATCGAGTCGATTGCACAACTTCAATCGTTATACAGAATATAGATACAGAACGGTGAATTTAGTTTCGTAGTTTACTACAAAGCTAAGTTCACATATTCGAATCTCTATTCGTACAAAAATTGATTTTGTGTTTCTCGATAGTTTTAGTTTAGAATACTATAATGGAATATTTTCCGCTTGTATTCTGATAGAATAAAGCTTATATCAACGTCATTTTTCTATTTGTAGCTCAGATTCTCTAACTTCGTTACCATCGAATTTAACTAATTTATCGACTCGTTCAAATATTCCCGAAGCATTACAATGTTATGCTCATGTGTGTGTGAAATGTAATATGCCGTTCAGTGATGCTTTGTCGCTTGATCTTCATCAGAAAACACAATGTCTTGAACGTAATGTATTGGATGAATGTGGTATGTGGTTTCGGTGTAAGTAGTCTAAAGATCCTTTTTTATTGAAATATGGCTGTGCTCTTTGCTTCCTCTTTTTAGGTCCTCTGTGTAGTTTAACGTATTGTGACGCTACTTTAATGTCGCTACATATAACAAAAACACATCGTTCTGAATTGAAATCAATTCAAACATTAAAACGGACGCTTCCAAGACCAGGACGAAAGACAACTAGCGACGATTCAACCTCTGATTCACCACCATCTGCGAGAGTGATCGTTCCTCCATTATCACCAAATTTTCAACGAAAAAAACAACGAACAATCTAGTTGTTGTGAGTGCCTTTTTATTTTGCATGTCTTTCAGTTTTCTGACATCCCATGTATGTGTCTATTAGTGTAAAAACTTTATTTTTGCTTGTTTTTGTTTATTCATTTATAGAACGTTTGTCCTCTCAAGCACGTTTTTCTCTTTTTTCTTTTTGTCTTGATTATTGTGTTCGTTGAAATTCAGATGAATGTACAAAGTAGAATAAATCAATTTCTAGTCTTTTCTTGTTTAATCAATTCGTTCAGGATTTTCTGCAGTTAGCGAACGTAACTTGATCATTAAACGTAGTTGTATTCTTGTATCGTCACTACGAAAGCGGTTAGCTTTTCTTTGCTTGACGAAATATTTTTTTTGATGAATAAGTCCTGCTACTCAAGTTTATCAATTGTCTTATTTCGATGATTAGGTCATAACAAAAATTCAATATACGGTTGCAGCCGATAGTATTAGTTCATATCCAGCGATGGATCCAGGATTTTTTTAAGGATGTATGAGATTGCTTAAACTTTTGAGACTGAAAGCACTAACCGGTTTTTTTTTCTCCTGAAAATATTTTTGAGAAGGGGGGGGGGAGGGGTCGAGCGCACGACTTCTGAATCCGCCACTGTTTATATCGGGCACTGTACAGTTTTATTTTTGAACTAAAAATATTCCTCTTGATGTTAAACAAAATATTCATTTTATCCTTGTATTATTAAAAACACACTTTGAATGATGTTGTGAATATATCAACCAATATATATTCTGTTTCACCTGATATACATATTGACGTTATCAAATGCTTATTCATCCAGTTTAACAACAATATTTAATACATAGTTTAATTCGCAATACTCGAAGTAAGTATTAGTATTTGACAGAGAATGGCTAATGCCGATTTTTTTCTTCATAAACTCCGATATGCACTATATTACAATGAACCATAAATACTAAAGATTCTTAAACAGTACGATTACTTGATGTGCCCAGTTGATAGCTCGTAACTATTCATATTCGATATGGACCAGGGAATGTACTTCGACACACTGCAAGCTCATTTTTGAACATTAACAGAGTAGTCGTGATTCTCAATCTGCCATCGTAAAGAACAAGGAATTTACATTTATTGTTGAAAATTCTACGCTAACAAGCTTAGAATTTTTTTCTATCCAAGGTTCTATTTGATTGAAAATTGAAAAAAATGACATTGATCAATATTACAACAAAAAGATTAAGATTGCACTAAAAAAAGCTTCTAATTTTAAAAGTCGATACAACTCGAATTAGTTTTGATAACAAAGTACTATATGTTCACTATATGTCCAGTTGTTACTTGGCTTCTATCAACTATTAGTTTATGAATAAGTTTTCTATCATTAAGTAAATCATGTTTAGTTAAACATTTAATAATAAAAGAATGTTGTTTGTTATTAAAATTTAGTCGACTTATCATCTCATTTTCTGTCAATAAGATTATTCTCAATCAAGATCAAGTCGTCATTAGCAATATCTCGGACACAATATAGACATAACGAACATTATTACAATGAAACATCGCATTGGTAACCGAAGAAACGTAATTTACATAAAATATTTTTGTTAAAAAGTGGTCGACGATTGAAATATTCGCAATAAAAATTTAAGCACGGAATTGGGAGGGTCTAAATGAAAAAATAGTATTTTGTTCTCAAGGTTTTTTCCTTATTCCGATTTTTTCGTTGACTCGCTCGCTTTTTTTAATTATAAACATGGTCATATCAGGTTTTTATCATTTTTCTTAGGAAATTGTTACAGTGAGTAGAGATATAACTGAGAAAAACATGATAAAAAGACACATTTGTCCAGGATAAAAGTACAATGTTGAAAAACTTCTGGGAAAGGAGATAAACGATTTTTAGATAATTTTTCTGTTACTCGCCAAAGAATAACTCATTTGTTAAACAAGATGACAATAAAGTTAAATATTAAATAATCTTTACTTCTATTGACACCATCGTGCTCAACGACCGAATATCAAACACTTTTAACTTTAGTTGCAATGCTTATCATCGCTTTCAAATGGATCTTGACAGACATTCTCCATACAAATAAGTTCATTAGCACAATCAAAAGATTCTTCACATGGATATCCTTTCATACGTTTATTCTGACAGTACCCTTGAAAACATTTACTTCCCGTACAACAAGAAGTTTGCAAACAAGATTGTCCAGGTTGCGAACACCGTGTACATATCTGATTGATGCAATAATCATTCGTATTTACACATTGACGATGTAACCGGCAGGTTTGACCTGTTTGACGTAACAAAGTACATCTTTTCCGATAACATCTAGCACTGCTACAGCATTCTAATGAACTAGAACATGTTTCATATGACTGACGACATGGGATGCATACACCCTGGTAGCATATTGTATCAATATTGAAATCAACACAATCGAGCAAACTATCACAGTGAGATGGAAGACTGTGAACGACAACATCCAGATCGGATAAAACAAAGTGAATGAACGATAATAAAATTAACAAAAGACACACATATTTATTCATTTCTAAAAGAAAAGAGATTTACAGTCAGGTTTGACTTCTCACATATAAACAGTGACGTACTCATGATTCGATCAGGAAAATGTTGATATACATTGATAAAGTTGATTAATCCCAACGTATCTACTAGGAATTTATCTCTATGTGAAATGTCTATTTTTTATCATATTGTCTTATATTCGTACAAAAGAAAATCACAAAATGTTTTCTAATATGTATCTATATAAATATACTGTTATTACCAAACAAAAACAAAGAAAAATTCATTTGTTTCATCCATCTGTTGTTGTTTATAGAAGAAAAGAGAATGGAGGGTACTATACAAGACATTCGATTAGTTACGCTCTCATTTGTTTATTGAAACTCCATGTATACGTATGTCAAGGAAAACTACTTTTATTACTTAATAGAGAAGGTCATCAACTGATCAGAAGCTTTTTTGCGTAAATGACATGGTAGTACATGTAATTGACAGCGCCGATTACGAATCTAATATTCATTGTGTTCCACAAGTGGTTCTCGAACAGATTTCTGAAAAGATCAAACATTGAAATGAATTTTTTGGCCGTTTTGAAGGGCTTATCAAATTACTTATATTTTTTTATTCACAAACTTAACAAATAAGTATTATAAGATTTTTATAAGGTTTTATAGCCACTCTATTAACACACGTTCTGTATCCAATAAATCTATGAATAGAGGTACTTCAATGTCCGCTACAAAATCTTAGAGAAATTTTATTTTTAAGAGCTTTTTGATTTTTCAGAGATTGTATTCAAAACTTCACTCGAGAATCACCTGTAGAACACAATGAATGTTAGAGTCATAATTGTTGCTATCGATTATATATGTTACCGTATTATTTACATTAAAAACAAAACTCTTTATCAGTTGTCAGTCATCCCTTATTAGATAATAAATCACAACGTAAAATGCAAACTGTTTTCCGTAATCTGATCAAATATAGTTTCAAAGTTAGGTATATTGGGAGATGTTGTTTTATTAAACATGACGATAAGTATTTTAAACGGACAACAATATTGATGTTGAACATGAAAATTTGGCTTTTTAGTCCAAATATGATTTAGAAATTGAGACTGAATAATATTCATATTAACTAATGATAGAGTATCAAAACGTAAAATTAATGTAAATTGATCTAATGTAGAAATATATTTTTCCCAATATTCATTACTGAAATACATTGGATAACCAACGATACCTATGATTATCAATGATCTTAATTTAGGCAATGAATCCAATAATGAACTTATTTTATTGATGGTAATTAATTCAGATATATTCAAATGTAAATTAGTCAAGTACAGATTAATGGGAAGTTGAACAAACCATGGTCTTTCAGAAAGTGGATGATCAATCAATGTTACATGTAAACTATTCAGTTTTGGTTGTTGTTTTAATAATAAAAATAAACTGTATATACTACACCAATTCAATGTCAAATGTTCCAGTCCATCAGCTAAAATAATGTCTTCTTTAATTATAATAGAACAATTTAGTTCTAATTTGCATGATTTTAACAATGGATTTGTTAACAGTCGTTCATAGACGTCAACCGATATCGTTTCTTTTACATTACATGTATTTATACACAAATATTTTAAATTAGGAAACGTTAAAGTCGATAAATATTCGAAATGAGTAGAATTAATATCTAATAATGTCAATGTTTCAATACCTGAAATAAACTGATTGAAATCGAATAATTTTATCACCAAATCATTGTCGATATGGAATGATAATTTTAGTTTTTTTAATCGATGAGCAATTTGTGGAAATACAAAGTGATAATAATGGTTAAATTGAAAGTTTGTCAGTAACGTTACATTTGAGTGGACCGAAAGATGATGATTGTTGATAACACAATTTAAAAATGTGTTAAGATTTGAAAATGATTGATAAATATCGTAAATATCCAAATGTTCAAATATGTCTAATAAGATTTCACACGGAATATTTTCAAATGTTGTACAAGACGACATACCTTAATAATCTAAAACTGAGAAGGGTTGAAAGCAATCCATTTTTGTTAGAAAATGTTGTTGTTCGTCGAAGACGGTTGTTATTTTGTTATTTGAACGTTTGTGCTTGATTTTACCAAAATTGATCTCTATTTTCATAGTTTTGTTTTTTGGTTAAGATAAAATAATTTTTAATATTTAAACTTGATTTTATTAGTACCAAACAAATTCGTCTCACAACAGCCGTTTAGCTACAGAAATGCCTGAGTTTTGAAAAATAAGAGCGACCTCATGGTCAGGGCTACAGTGTTTTATCTAGGTTTCGTTTTTCGGGTGGGTGCTTGAGATTTTTGGAGAGACTGTTGGCTAAAAACTCTGAGAGTGAAAGTGAGAGAGAAAACACCTTTTTTTTACGAAATCAACTGTATAATTTTTGGCCTACACACTAGATAAATCCTTGCAGGATTAATGTTACTAAAAGGATGAGTGACCGCTTCTGAATATCAAATCATCGAAGTATTCTAGTAATGTTCGATGTACATATTCGCTGACTTAGTTGAGAGAAAAGTTATAGCAAGGCAGTCTGGAAGACTGCGCGCATAGTAAGACCAGTGCAAATTTCCACGGCTTGGACCGGCTTTCCTGTAACTAAACAGCGGTTGTAAAACAAATTTATACAAAATATAGCAAATTATCGAATTTTATGCTTTTGAGATTTTTCATGTTCTCATAATAATTTGTGTTCTACGGCTTGATGTTATCGATACTGAAGTTTGAACACTGTACTATCAAATACGCGACGATCAATATAACGGTTAGGTCATGCTGTTATGAGATCCAACCTGAGATCTAATAGTGACGTGAAAGTGTGTAGCACTAAATATTTGAGGTATCCAGCAGAGAAATTCTTAAAACTTTTGAAACAATTAATGGCACAGTAGAACGTTCAAAATTTTAGAATACATTAGACATTTTCTTAATTGTATCATTCAGTTAAGTCAATGTTAACAATACGACTAAGGTTAAATATTGTGGCAAATTCACGTTAGTTAACAGAAACGGTTTCCTGTTGCAAATCTATCATCTGATGTAGTTTCATATGAGAAGTCTTTTTGTATATCGGTCATTCCATCTTTAAACGTCACTTCCGTCTTTCATAGAAAGCGTCAATGGAAGATGTCATTGTCTTTGATGCTACACAATGATAGTAAGGAGTTTCATTTCACGTTAAAACCAAAAAAATTATTTTGACAAGTTTCTTACTCTGTAAACGAACAAATACGATGACTGTTTGATTCGACAACCTAACGTTCTGACATGTCCTTAGTAGTTCACAATCACCGTAAAAATAATCCTGACGAATCAGAACATAGAGGTATAAATTGTAGATTGGCTAGCTGGGTTTGTGATTATGGAAGATGCAACATCCTGAAGAAAGTTAATCTTTTTTAAAGTGCAGAGTTTTGCACTTGAGAATAAACTAGTAAATCTAACACTTGTCCAAGTGTGCGTAGGAAAGGAGGATCATTTGCATCGAGACATAGTGTGTTGATAGTATGCCAACACTGGACATTGTATACTGCTAAGATTCGAGTAATTCCTGTGTTAGAGCGAGTTTACCTAAATTGAAAATGTTCACTTTAAAAACCTGTTTTAATGGAAGTTATCGTTGTTTTAGATGCTACACAATGATAGTAAGGAGTTTTATTTCAAGTTAAAACCAAAAGGATTATTTTGACACGTTTCTTACTCTGTGCACAAGCAAGCACGATGACTGGTTGTTATTCGACAACTTAACGTTCTAACACATTATTTTACTTTTAGATATTAGACAACCAATTTATGGTTGAGAAAAATCTTGAAAAATCAGCTCTTAAGAATGATAATAATTATATCGATAAAATCAAAACAAAATCCGGAAAAACGTATTTTATCCGTGATTTTTGCATGGAAGATCGTTTTGATATTCAACAACTTTGTTCGCAAGAACGATTAGAAATAAACGTTCAAGTTTATCGTGCTTGTTTTCGAAATCGTTTCACCTACATCACACTTGTTGTTCTCATGTTCTTATGCATGTGTTTGTTTAATCGTATTCTCTGGGCTATATCATTGCCACCATTACTCATTTCATCCTTTCTTATTTATCGAATATCAAAAATGAAATCTAAACTAAAAACACCGTTACAACATAATTATTCAGACTATATTGATAAACCGAATCTTCGACGAATTCTTGTTGTTGTTGAAAATGACAATAAAAATAATTGCGAACAAATTATTGGTTTTTGTGCTTTTTCCACATTTCCTTTGGATCGTTTAGCAGCATTCATTACTCACTTTTATATTCTATCGAAATATCGTCGACAAGGTATCGGACAGAAGTTACTATCGGTTTCTCGTGAAAAAGTGATTGATGCTAAATATCGACGGTTGAATATCGTTTGCTCACGTTATCAATCTAATGGAATTAAATATTTATTAAAAAACAATTTTTATTTAAAAGATACATGGTCCACATGTGTATTTGTACCACGAATCACAGATGAACAAGTCCTCTTGACTATTTCGCCATTGATCGAAAAAAAAGGAAATTAATTATTATCGTGCTTGTACTATCATAAAAAATGACAATATCTTAAAAAAATTAATTCTAATACATGTTGTTTGTCAGTCGAATAGATAGTGTCACAAATTATTTTAAGGCTGTTTGGGTTTCGTTCAAAACTGTGCGAATAGTTATTGTGCACTGATAACGGAAAAAGTTGTTAAAACCCGTTTGTGTCAGATTTAGATAATCTAGTCATTATTTTCTATTTTTATGACTGTCATGTTTCATTTTTGAAATAAAAACAGCTACTGTCACGTATAGGCGTATATAAGAAAAAGTTCAAAAATGAAAAAATCGAATATTTCAAGAATAAATATATTCGCATTAGTAGCCAACAACTATATTTATGTTGCTACAAATAGTCAGCGTTATCGAATCGGGGGTGGTAGGGGGTGGCAAACCACCTCCTCGTTTGGATACAGTTACTCAAAAAATTTTGACTTACTCAAATTTTATTGAGAATAATTAAAAAAATGCCTTTTATGCACCTAAGCAGGTGATTTTAGAGTTATTGATGGGCAGTAAACGAAGTAAAAATCCTATTTTTACTTGAATAAATGTGATTATTGTAGTCACAGAAAAACTACTTTGGGTTCTTTTTCTCTCTTATTCTCAGTTATATGCTAGGTTTTTGTGTGTTCTGAAGTCTCTTTCCCTTTCTTTCTGTCTGTCTTTCTCTTGGTCACAAGAAGGAAGAAGACGCATGTGAACTGTAAAAAAAGATAGGAAGGAAACAGAGACTTCTTATCTTTTCCCATAGAAGAAAATATAACTGGGAAAAAAAAGTGAACTGTGTCTTTTCTTTTTTTGTTGAAAAGTGTAAAGAAGAAGCTTATTTGATCTTATTTTAATCCTCATCTATCCAAATTAGCTTTAAAACATTTTACTGTCCCTGCAACATTCGCACCAATAGAGTGAATTTTTTCTCAAAGCGGCTTTATCATTCGCTCACATCGTTCAACGTTATCAGCATCAACGTTATGCATGTTAACATTTTTAAAATGTAATAATGATCTTCTCGGATATTGTTTCATTCTTGTGTGTTCAAATAAAATAAAACAAATGAATAATAAAGAGTAAAACAAAAAAAAAGGAAGACTAGTACCTAACTCCTTCAACTGATAACAGAAAGATATTGAAAATGGCTGTTGTTAGGCAGCTAAAACGTTTTTCATGAGTATTTTCTCGTACTCAAGAATCTGCGTACTCGTCCATCTCAGGTAAAAGACAATATTTAAATATTACTTGCTAACAAATAAGATTTCAATTTCTTACTTTATAAATATGAGCCGTACTGGGAGTAAACTATTGCAGCATTTTATCAAATTTAAACAGTTATCATCCACATACAACTGAGTAACAGCAGAGATGGGCGAGTACGCAGATTCTCGAGTACGAGTACGAGTATTTTTAAAAGTAGAAAATTCTCATGAAAAAAGTTATTTTAATTATGGGTTATTGTATGTTAAAAAATTTAAGTAGTCGAAAATACTCGAGTGCATTTTTAAGCACTCGTAAAAGAAAGTCCCAAGTACAAGTACGAGTACTGAAAATTTTGTACTCGAGTATACTCGTACTCGCCCATCTCTGAGTAACAGCTTCTTTCGAGGCTAAGAAATCTCTGAATAAAAATAGACAGTATCTCAAAGTAGGTTGATTAATGTACCTAAATTAGACTGATAGAAGATCCATGTAATCTTCAAACAAGGGAATAGTTTTTATATTCAAGTATTTGAATACTTCAGCCATTTTTCATTTCCACGGATCGAAAACCACTTTGAAAAACTCAAAGGTTTCTCAAAGTCATTTCATCAAATTAAACATCTGATTTTGTATAGAAATTCATATTTTGAGCTTTCTAGGTTAACATATGGCTGTGTTATTTGCAAATCATCTGAAGGATTTGTCGAAAAAGACGCTAGTTTTTAATATTTTGCGAATATCTCAGCAAGAAAAAAACAGCTTGTTTCAAGGCGCACCTTTTGACGTATAAACGAAGGGTATAGTTCTTAACCCCAAAACTAGACAGGTTCTTGAACATAGGGTCTCGAATTTTGACCTTGAAAATTCAATACCTGACCAAACTTTCAATTTTGGGTTTGGAGACTTGAAAGTGGCTTGTCTAAGATCAGTTTTTAATGAGGAATCGAATGAGATCAAGCTCGAGTCTCTAGAACAAAACCTGACGAAACGGCGACGTTTTTCGAAAAACCAAGATTTTTGACCTTATTGGCTTCTCCTCAGTATTCTAAGGTTTTTGTCGGCGAGGAAATGTTTTCTGAGGCTGGGATGATCATATTTGTGATCAGCTCAATGCGCTGAACAAGAATATGTATCTCAAAGTCGAAAACAAATTTCACTCGAAGTTTGCTTTACGTGCATCTTACACCGTTTGATAGAGAATTTCACGGGCTACAAAATGAAATCTAAGACCATTATGAGAAAATGTAACTGGGTGCATATGATGCTGTTACCCGTTGCAAAGAATCTGCAATTATTCGTTATATACGTTTCAACAAAAAAAGACAACCGGACGATTATTATGATGTTCTGATGTTGTTTTTATCGATGTGTGATAGATCTGTCATATCAAGCGGTGATTCATATCAACAGTATTATGATAGGTATTTTTTGTGATTTGGTTGATGGCAGCATTGAACGAGTGAAATGTTCTTGATGAAAATATGCAGAAATACGAGCCATTTAATGTTGAATTAGAAGTAACGGAAGCAGTTTTTACTAGAGAATCAGAAACAAGTGAAATCGACGAATGGACAAAGATAGTTACGAGAAAAGATCGTGAAAATGAACAACTTCAGTTATTCAGAAGCGAGCAAAGCGTTGATATCAACAATATGTTTCCGAATAAGTCAGACAAAACGTTAACGAATTCAGATCAAATTCGACAAATGACTATTAAAGATAACAATGATATTCAGCTATTAGAACAATGAATGCGCCCACAGGAACTTGTGTGTTTCGTATTAGCGGTTCCACACATCATAGTACCCTTGGCTTACGCGAACAACTAAATAAGAGTTACGATCAGTTATCATCAGATAAACTTAACAGCTATCGAACCAAAATCAGACGCGTTAAACTGAAGTTTGTGATAAAATTTCACTTATGAACTATAGTATGTGGTCCACCGATGTCAAGATATTAAAGCTGTAACGTGATACTCAGCGATTTCTGGTGATATCGGTGTAATTCCTGTTGGTGCTTTTTATCAATATCCAGGTATTGGTCAACGTTTATATGATGAATATGTCGACCTCTTTTTGGATCATTTTGAATTTGTTGAATTGAAAACGAATATGCGCCAAAGTAAAGCTACGCTGTTCCGTGCATTTTTAAATTGTCTTCGCAAAAAGAAGAAGGAACGTTTTTCAGAAGAAGATCACGCATTTTTGTATCAGTGTCATCAACGATATTTAATAGGCGGTTATGATGGACAAGCGTTGCATATTTTAGTTCGAAATGATAAAATAATTGCCCGTAATCACAAAATGTTGGAAGAAGTTTGCACGCAAATAGTAGTCACTATACCATCCCTTAAAAAGACATTGTTAAATCTGATCGTGTTAACATTAGAAACTCTAGAGCTTGGTACTGGTGCAAAAGTAATGATAACAAAAAACACTATTATAACAGACGAATTTGTTAATAGAAGTTTTTTGTACAATTATTGAATTTTTATATGATGATGATGGAACAATAGTAGACAAAATCATGTTGAAATCGGATGAAGCCCGAGTTGATATTGAACACAGACAGGAATGTAGTGACTATAGTGAATTGAGCAGTATTTGCGTAGGACGAACAAATGTTGAATCAGATGAAAATAATCCTATGAAAAAGTAAATATCTTGGTCAACAGTTTCCAATAAAACTTGCTTGGACTGCTACAGCTGATAAAATACAGGGTGCAACTGTAACTGAATTAGTTTGCTGTACAGGAACACTATTTGGACCTGGTCGAGATAATACACAGTTATTAAGAATATCACCAGTTAGTGATGACGATGTACAACTATGTCTCATGGATGTTTTCGAAGATAAGTTTTATTGTGATGAACAAATTGGGAAGAAAGGACGAATTGTACCACTACGAAATGCAGAAATTCTTATGGGTGCATTCATTGTTCTAATAGTTGAATATCATGGATGTGTTAGCCTCGAAAATACTTGGACATACGTTATTGACTATTCCAATTCTCGAAAAAAGTTGAAAAACTTAACATTAACGTATATTTTTTGTTAATTTTAAAGGAATGGAACGAATTAATCGATTCGCTTCGTGAACTAAAACTATTGAAACCTGAAAAGCTACGTGATGAACCTTTAGCAACATTTTAGATTTTTAACATTTTCATTTCGCACGTTAGAAAAATTGTAGAACAATAGGCGTATCCTGATTGGTAGGAGTAACAAGGATGCTCCCACCCAATGATTCATAATTTTTTCAGCAAAAGGCTTTCATACTGCTTCTGAGACGGTTTTAGGATTCATTTATCCACATCTCTGGATCTGAAGATCACGATATCGCTGATAAACGCTCGTGCGTAGTAGACCTCTATTTTTTGTTTTTATCATACACTTCAGTTTTTAAGGCTTTAGGCTACACCATTAACGTTCACGTATTAGAAATAGAAGTGTCGTCCAAATCGTGCTTTTGTTCATTTAACAGAGAGATTACGTTGTGAGCTAGATTAGGGCATCTAATCAGAAATTACCAAAAGTCTACAAATTCACTAATCTTCTTCCAGCTTGTAAAAAATTCAAAAATCATGACGAATCTCATTGAAAATGAAGTCTCTAAAAGATATTTGAAAAGGTCGTTTATCGAGTCATCATTTGTTCCGTTTCGCGCTAATTCTATTGATATTTTTGCTTGAAAATATTCAAAAAATCACTACTAATTCTCGACTTCTTCACACCAAAATAAGCAACATTACACTTAATGATTTAGTTCCAAAGTGAGATTTTTGTTTGTAGTGTATCTGTATCAATGGTTTCACTGAAATTATTCCAATATCGAGAAACATGAACAGTATGTTACAGTATATTACCGATTTACTTGGTTGATACTTCATTAAACACGGAGAAACATGACTTTGTAAACCTAACATTTAAGAAACGTTCGAGTTGAGTTTGAAGCATAAAGTTTTTTTCGACTTATTGACAGAATTGTTGATATTGAATAATCTGCTGAATTGCAAAATGAAACGGCATGAAATTTATCCTGTATCCTTTAGGCAATTTTCTACGATCAATGAGCTGAAGGAAATCGGCAATCTGAACGATGACGCTTATTACAACAATATTTGGATGTTTGAATATACCTACCTCTTCACAAAAATAATATTGTTATTATTTCATATATATAATGTCGGATAGCAATAATATTAATAATAATTATAGTAATTATTGTATCAAATCTGTACGATGTAAGTGATTATTGAAGAACTCTATTTTCATGTGTCTACACATAGGCGAAATCTTTCAGTTGATTATCCGGTTTCTTCATGCTCAAAAAAAGAACCATCTTATGACTTGCATCTTACTTTTTTCTCCCGTACATTAAGACGAATTATCCGTCTTATTTTAAGATACTTACTTCCAGTGCGAATTACGTCTATCGTATTTCTATAACAGACCGAGAGATCCATCACTAGTGATGGATCTATTTATCTAGCTAATAAACATTTAGATGATAAAGAAGATCGATATATGACTATAATAGGTAATTGTCTTCGTTTCTGAAGCTATTCTCACTCGGAAAGCGACATACTGATCCCTAAAGTTAGTTTCACTAAAAACGCTGCTACTATTTGTTAAAAATTGCAGTTGTTTTTAAATGTTTACAAAACCTCAACATTCTACTTTGTTTCTCCTTCGGAAAAAGTCTCTTTCGGTGGGAAAAACTAAGAAAGAGGAAGAACTGTCTACAGCTTTAGCCTCTCCTTCCTGTCAATAACTTATATCATTGTCATAACAATGAAAAAAACCTCTTTTGCAATTTTTCTTTGTTTAGAAGGTCTAAAAAATGGTTTT